GAGGGGGGCGGCGACACCTCGCGTCCGCAGCGCGCTCAGCGCAGTCCCTCGCCCCGCGCGCAGGTGCCTCCTCCTGGACGGCGGCGGCGGCGGCAGCAGCGGCGCGATGGGGCCCCTGCGCGACGCCAAGGTAAGCGGGTCGTCCCGGGGGCGCGGGGCCGCGGCGAGGGCGCAGGAGAGGGCGCGGTGGGCACTGCGGGGGTGGGGGGCGCAGCGGGCAGGTGAGGAGCCGGAGCCGGGCGGGAGGGCAGAGGGACCTCAGGCTGGGTGCTGGGGTCTGGCGGAGAGGAGGTGGCACGCAGGGAGGAGGAGATTCGGGAGGCTGGCAGCAGGATTAGAGAGATTGACTTTGGAGGGTTGATCCTATCTGCTGAACTGGGGTTTCGGAGTGAAGCTTGGGGTGTGTGTGCGTGTGCACGCGTGCGCGCAAAAGGAATTTGATGTATGCGTGACTGACACAGGACTCCGGAGAGTCAGTGGCCCGGCAGTGGTTCAGTCTGCAGTGCCACGCAGAGCGGCTGGCGTGGGAAACCTGCTGGTTGACGCTGTGCAGGGCTGAGCCAGGGCGGGGTGCTGTTCGAGGTTCGTGGCCGGAATGGCAGGGATGCCTGAGCCACCTCAGACGTGCCCTGCGGCGGGGGTTTACCCTTCCCTGCCTGCACTGTGTGAGCCTCGGGCGTGTTTACTTTGGCCGTGACCCCTGCCTGGTAAACCTGAGAGGAGCAGGAGGTCATGTTGTGAAATGATTTTTTTTTAAAACCCTAAGTCAAAGCTCTCTTTGAATTGCAGAGGTTGGAGTGAGCAGTGGAATTTTTGCCAAATGCCCTTCCCAGGAATCCATTTTAGTAAGGCAGGGTGTTGGTGGCCTGAAAAGCACCCGATCCGAAGCTGGCTCTGCATGGAGGTGATGTACACCCTGTACCTCCCTTCGCCTCAGTTTCCTGATCTGTAAATAGGGATGTGGATTCCTGGGGTCTCTGTGTTGCAGGCTGCGGTTTAAGAAGAACAGAGATAAAGGCTGGGAGAGCACTTGAAATTGGAAAACATTGTCAGAATAGTAGTTTTAAGCATTTTAAAGCCAGGAGATGGCAAATCTATTTAATGCTGTATTTTTATGGAGAGAAAAACCTCTTCTCGTGGGTTGTCCTGTAAGGAAAACAAAAGCTAAACATGATGTAAAAGGTGGAGCCATCCTCCTGGGTATTGGATCTGTTTGCTTTGCTGTTGGCAACAAGCCCTGGGTACCAGGATATTAATGAATAATTAAGAACCTGTCTGGAAGAGGAGGGATTTTAAAGATAAGAGTGTGTTATGTATCAGAAAAAGAGAGACTCATCTTAGGTATAGGTGTCTACTTTGTGAGGAGACGGAAAAACAAGTCAAATTGGCACAGGAAAGGCGAAATGGAAGTCTAGAGGAAATAACTAATAAGCTGGAATGTGCTGTGAGTAATTAGGGAGCTCTGAGAGCCTAAAGCCTGAGTGTGCCAGAAGCCAAGCGAGAAGGTGAGTGAAGAAGGCCTGTGGCAGTGGGTGGAAGCGTGCGTGCGGGGCAAGCGTGCGGGCTGCTGAGTAGATCAGAGAGAAGCCCAGTCCAGAGTCTGTGAGCTCTTTTCAGTGACAGATAAGGCCGACTCTGAAGAGTTGCTGTTCAGAGATGTGACTTCTCGGACACGGGCCCTGGAAGGAGCAGACGGGAGCTTGAGAGGGAGAAACAAGTTTCCTTCTGTTCTCTTTTCGATGTCGGATTTTGAGAAGGAGCAGAGGGTGCAGCATCACGAGAAGGAGATTCCCAGAAGCCGGATTCCCCGATTGATTCTTCGGCCCCACCTGCCCCAGCAGCAGCAGAAGGTGTCCCCGACCTCTGAGTCTCCCTTCTCGGAGGAGGAGAGCAGAGAGTTCAACCCCAGCGGCTCTGGGCGCTCAGCGCGGACCATCAGCAGCAACAGCTTCTGCTCAGGTACGGTGCCCCGGGCGGCCACTGAGGCCTAGTGCGGGCGAACGGGGCCTGGGCTGGGCCCTGGCAGCCCAGAGCGAGGCTTCTTCTACTTGGATGACTTCATAAGGTTGAACCTTTTCGGCTGCGGTTTCAGCCTACAGATAACAGCAGTTCCATTTGATTCAAGCCAGTGGAATTGTGTACCTGATTTTATGTGTTTTTCTAGTTTATAGCAGAATATAAAATCTAACTTCTGGTGTCTGTGGCATAAAACAGGGTGTCCGATTATAAGTCCAGAGTGGATATTAGATTGAATTTTATGCTCACAACTTCGACAAGCCTGTGCACTTTTGATTATGGAATTCACAAAATAGAGTGATTTCTAATAAGTGAGGGTAAGAACCAGGGGGGCTGCACGTCAGGGCTGGCCTTGGCGTTTAGCGGGGAGTAGCACAGGCTTTGTGAGGTGCCGTGCCCAGTTACCAGAAGGCTGGCATCCCTGGCCCTTCTACCACTTGCTGTGTAGCTTTGGGCAAGTTGCTAAACTGCCTTAAGCCTCAGTTGTTACACGCATAAAGTGGGAAGATAATATACGTTGAGTATCTCTTACCCAAAACGCTTGGGACCAGAAGTGGTTTTCTAATCAGTTTTATTGGTATGCTTTTGATACACATAATGAGCACGTTCATCATAAGGAATTTGTACCTGTACATAATGCATCTTGATCCTTCTTTTTTTCTTCCATTCCCCTCCCCTCCGTTCAACTCTTCTTCCCCTCCTTATTTACAAAAGCTGTTTCCATTTTTTTCATTCTGTTCTCTTTTTTCTCCCCTTTTTCCTTCTTCCCTTTCCCTGCCCCTCTTTTATCCTCCTCCCCCAGTGGAACATTTCCTTCCTGCTTCCCAATATCCATCCTTCATTTCGGTCCTTAGTTACTCTTGATTTCTCACAGGAGAAACGACGTGATATTTAAACATATGTGCCCAATTTATTTCACTTAAAAATATAGGGACCAAAAGTATTTTGGCTTTCAGAGTTTTTTAAAAAATTGGAAAATTACATATAATGAGATACCTTGGGGATGACAGCCAAGTTTAAATGTGACATTCATTTATGTTTCACTACATATATATATATATATTTTAAATTGATTACATTGATATATATACATATATGTTCATATATATTAAAATTGATTACATTGATTGATGTATATACATATATGTCCATATATATGTTTATACAGCATAGGGCCAGGCCCTATTTTATGTGCACAGCAAATAGAACAATCTGATACAATACTTTCAGAGCACCTGGCTTTTCACTTGACCTGTCACAAGAAGTCAAGTGTGGAATTTTCTACTTGTGGCTTATGCAGGTGCCTAGAAAGGTTCACATGTTAAAGCATTTGGGATTTTCACATTAGGAATGCTCACCCTGTACTTACTTTGTTAAATGATATCATTTCGCTAAATGTCCTCTTAGCCCAGAGCCTGGTTTATAGAGGTATTTAATAAGTGATGGTTCTTGATGTGATGGACTGTGCGTGCCAGCTTTGGCATATGATCAAGGAAGTTTCCCCAAAGATGTAAGGAAGGGCACAGATTTCTTCATAGCCCCTGAGTGCCATCATTATCATCTGGCCAAGCTGGTGCCACCCACTGAAGCACATAACTTAGAAGAACTTGTATTCTTTGAGAAGCATTGAGAATTTGAGTAAAATTTCAAGTGATTGGCTTATGGTTAATGAAGAATGTGTTTCAGAATGGATAATGTTTTAGAACTTATTTAGGAAACATGTGATTTAAGGATTAATCCACTTATAAAAAGGGGTGTGTGATTAAAGATGGCATGATTAATGCTCTCATTTTGCAGGATGCAACATTCCATTGCATTTAGTGCCAGAAACTACATTTTCAAATATTTTTATAAATACGGCTTTGGATTTATTGCATACTTTTGCAACATATTTCCATTCCATGCTTAGGTATATGTTAGAAATATTTTGCTATCTACTTTTAACTTTTTCTCTATGGAGTCTCAAATTCTTGTCTTGCTTCTGGAAAATGTCGTCTAAGTGTGTTTTGAAACTTACTTCCTGCCATTTGAATGACACAAAGCTAGTTTAAAGTGGCAGCCCGCTGATGGTCAGCTTTGTACCCTGCCAAGAAGGAAACCACAGTGTAATTGACAGGTGAGAGGAGTAAAGTTGCCTCAGCCTAGAGTGGGATTTACAGAGCGTAACCCTATTTACTTTAACGCCACGCTGGAGTTTAGAGCTCACTCTGGTGGTGTAGGGACATCATTTCAACTGGACCCTATTTGTTTACATAACCAAATCCCACCTTTATTCCCCATATTCTCCCAAGTAATTAATTTCTCTGAGACTGACTTCAGTGTGAGTAGTTACCAGAAAATACAAACTTGGTCAGAACAAGAGAAAAACAACTCCAGATATATTATAGAAAATATAAAGACAAATCAATAAAATTATCAAATTTGGTCATGAATCATTCTCTTCCAGAGCCATTTCCTGAATCATTCCTTTTTCCCAGAAGACCTGTTTCCCACTGAGGCCATAATGATGTACATGAAGATCAAAAGTTGATATTGGTCCTCCTGCCATTAACTAGCTGAGAATTGAGTGGCAGAAACATAATTATGGTCCTCTGTAAGCCGACCTTGCACTTTGTCTCCAGACAGGACTCCCTCCACTTGAGCTGCGCCTCTCCCTTGTCTTCCTGTGCTAATCATTCCCCAAGGCTTGGCTCTGATGCCTTTCCCTTTCTTGCCTTCCGTTCCTGCAGGGCTCTGATGAACCCCATAAAGGCTTTTGAGTGCAGTGCTCACTGAAACTGACAGCAGCAAGGCCTTTGGGGGCATGTTAATGATGCTTTAGGAGGTCAGTCCGTGGGTAGAAAATAAATGGATTTGGGGCTACAGGGAGCATTACTGCTGCGGGCAGTGAGGTAGAGAATGTAAAACATGTCCGACCAGCAGGGGGAAATAGCTGGTTTTAATCCAGCCATTCAAACACTGAGGCCAGAATATGTGTTGCTTCATCATGGCAGTTAAATCAGAGAACAAGGTCCATGCAAACATTAAAATGCCAGTCTCTGCTCACATGAAACTAAAATAATTTAGAGGTGTCTGTCGTCACCAAAGCTTCATAGCCCTGAGGAATCAGTCTCCATCAGCTTATGTTCCTTACAAATCATTTCAACTCATGCCAAAGGGGGATATTTGTAGGTAAGGGAAGTCTTACAGCCTGATAGTGAAATTACGGAAGAGGGTATGATTCAAATAGAATTAAATTTATTTTGAAAACTGCATTTTCCCCCAGAACTGTACAAAGGCATTAATTATGAAGAGCATCCTATGTTCTAAAACATTCATGTTTAAAAGAAAGAAAATATAATGAGTTTACGTGAAGTTAAACTTACTTAATATAAGAGATTATGCTTTAGAGTCTGGCTTTTGAAGTTACCATTTGTGTGCAAACAAATATCCGTGATGGTGGATGGCACTTACACTTTGGCAAAATAAATGACAGCTGTATGTTGCTGTTTCTTTTACTCTCATCCCTATTTTTTATATAATTTTACAGAGCGGTGACATTTTTAAAAACCGGAGCCATTTCTGAAGTGACCTGTCCATTTCCGCCTCCTTTCCCTTTCCCTCCCCCACTTCTCTGCCTCCCTCCTTTCTTCCCATGGGAGCCTTGGCCAGGAACATTTAATAACTGGATATTCTGTATGCTAATTTCTATGTTGTGTTGATCTCATCTCAGAGGGAAGCAGTTGTGTGTGGCCTTTTGCAGCTCATTTGGGGCGTGTCCCCAAAGAGCTCTCCTTTGAATAGCTTCTTATCGGCAGAATCTCTTTGAAGATGTGCATGTGTTTTGTGCACTACGTCAGCACGAGTTGTTTCTGTACTTGGACACCATTCCAGTGTGAGAGCAGACCATTCCTTCCAGTTTCTGACCAGTCTCAGTCACAACCTCCTTAGCTGGAGATGGTCAGGTGTATGTTGTGTTGGAGGCCAGGCCCTGTTTTAGGGCTGTAGCCAACAGAACATTCTTACTAAATGGTAATTAATGCTTTATTTAAATAAAAGAACACATAAAAAGTACAGTGAATAGAACACCTGCTTTCATGTCCTGCTTTTTAAAACCAATATTTTGTTGTTTAAACAGAGATTTGGCATAATGTCACCCTCTCTTTTTTTTTTCTCCCTCATCCTCCTTGTTTTTAACATGACCAGGAGAAGTGATAAAGCCCACATCCGAAGTTTGTGTTCTGGGTGTAGGCCACTGAATGGAGGTTTCTGCTCATTTTTCTCCCCCTTGTTGTTAGCGAATTGTGTTTGTCATCATACAGCGACTCCTGGCATTGTTTGATGAGCGGGGACCTGGGTGGATGAATGAGGCACAGGCATCAGTCACCTGCCACGGTTAGCAGCATGCTGTGCATTCCTCTTTGCTTAGCTGAGGCAATAATTACCCCTTAGAACTAGGAGGCAGATGGATTACTGGGTTTTAAGCTAGTTCTCCTTAGGGTGCCTTGTAAACATGGCAGGTGGAACAAATTATGCATATAGAACACTGGTTATTTTATGGGAGACCAGTAATTTCTCTCAGTTATTTTTATGTTTCTGATGTGCACACACAGAATCGTGCCCAAGTTTGTGACTTACACTAACTATGAAAAACCAACAGCCAATATCATACTAAA